TTGTCCTGTGGTTATACACTTCTGTAAAACTTAACTGCTTTTGGAGTCAGTGTGTTCTTAAGAGCAAACCAGTGAAAGGAGGAGGAAAAATGCCTACTGAGAGTTAGTCTTCCATATGATAAGTTAAACTGTGCACATAACAGCAGCTTTGCAGAGGTTGGAATTGGCATTTGGAGGAGTTCATGTGGTGTGATCAAGTGAGATTAATTGGGCAGTGGGTGAAACAGTACAGCTGAACTTACCAAACTGACCACTTGATGCATTGTACTCTCTGGGGAAAGCATTCTTACGATTCTAGTGGGAAATCCATATATTTATTTGGTTGATTTTTTTTTTTTTTACCAAACTTCCTGAAAATGAGTCTTGAAATTGGGCAGTGAATTATGTGGCTTCGGGGAGTATTTAGTAATTGTCTGTAAACTGTTACCATGTGAAAGCTTGTGACTAACTAAACGCAGGTTTAATGTGGAAGCCCTAATCAGAGCGTGTAACAGGGTATCAACTGATACTGCTGTTGCTTTCCTTACATCGCTTCCTTCATCAGTCATTCAGCCTGCTCACCCTGCTGCTGCTTGTTTCTTAGGTGCAATGCCACAAGAAGAGATGGGACAGGACAAGCTTGCAGGCTGGGAGCAGGCTGTGAAGGGAGTGTAGGACAGCTCTTTTTGGCAGTAGTAGAAGCGTTTGGCGGTGTCTCTACCATCTTGTCTGATGGAATTTAAAACTTTTATTTAGCTTAATTTTCAAGCTGCCAGTTTACTAGGTAAAGCAGTTGTTTTCACTTTCAGCCTAAAGTGACAGGTTTAAGCTGGAAAAAGGCAAGAATACAGCATTGCCGGAGAAGTAGTTAAATGGAGTTTTCTCTGAATTGTCTGCCTGTCTTTTGATTTATGTAAAGCTATCGTAACTATGTCCGTCTCCTGGTTTTTTCCAAATCTTAGTCTTTGGTTGTTTCTGTGAGATGGCTGGAGAAATGAAGAGACTGTCAGTCACTCTTGAGTTTTTACCTTGTCTTTGATTGACTGATGAGTGTTTCACCCTTCAATTTTAGATAATCTCTTGCTGCTGCCTTCTTATAAGGGGATTACTACTTCCTTTCTCTCCTGGATAATGTTTTCTGAGGTACTGCAACTTACTGGAAACTTCTAAATTGTGTAAAGAAGCTAAAATGAGGGCAAACCTTGTGGATTTTACCTGTGTGAAATAATCCAGGCTACTAATGGACCTTGCCCATGAGTGTGCTTTGGAAGCTGGCAGGCGAATCTCATCAAAACAACCTCATGGGTGGGCCCTTTAAATGTGACTCTCCTCCACAGTTCACCTGGTTTTTGGATATTTTCTATAGGAACCTTCTGTTTGATTGTCTTTTGGGATCTTTTATCGGGGGTCCTTTCTTGGGAACTCTTTCTTAGACTTTGTATATTTCCAGTGCAAATTTAATTTACAAGAGTAGGATTTTTCAAGTCTTAAATGACATCACATCAGTTTCTGCAGTTTAAACTGAATTATATGTGCTTCATTGTCACGAATGACTTGGCACATGTCTGTTGTTTTTTACAAAAGGTGATGCCGGCACTGCCAGAGTTTCAGTGATTACAACTGCTTTGTCAAATTGGGTTGTGTGATCATTTTAAAGACTTTCTGGCACTTTGTCAATTCTAATTTTTACAATCTTACCTGTGGTAGTGGTGAGGGAGGCTACTCCCATAATTGGTTACTTTTTTCTCTGAAAGATGGGTGTTCTAGTGGGATAAAATCACAGTAACCTTTACTGTGCTTTTTGAGGACTGAACAGAAAATCTAATTCACCCGAAACTGTAAAGTGTGTATGGCTGACATTTGCAAAGATCACTTTCTCAGTGACCCCATGTCCAGCACTACCTTGGTGAAGTGTGCATGTGTAGTCCTGAACGTCACAACAATCTGAAAAGGAATCTAAATCTAATTCACCCGAAACTGTAAAGTGTGTATGGCTGACATTTGCAAAGATCACTTTCTCAGTGACCCCATGTCCAGCACTACCTTGGTGAAGTGTGCGTGTGTAGTCCTGAACAAGGAATCTGGGTTTTCAGGTGCTGTTGGGTTGTTTTTCCTCGACAGACAAAGCAGTAAATGTATGTAAAGCAAATGCTTATGCAGTTTCAGCACTTTTTGCAGTAGTTCAGTCTATAAAAACTAAAGGCTAATAAAATCCGTTGATTTACTATTTAGTTGAAAGCATCCCTTTCTAATTCTTGTCTTGCTCAATTTTCCTTTGCCAGTCAAATGAGCAATATAACCGTGGGAACCTTGAGGGCTTACTTCTTGGTATTTATGCCCCAGGCCTGTTAGCTTCGCGGTGGGACCCGATACCCTTTGTTTGCTGTTGTACCTATTTAAGCTGCTGTTTTCTGTTTGAAAATTTACAGGTGATTTCCTTGGCTGTTTTATAACAAACAAACAAATTTGTTTTCATGCTAGAAGCTGCAGTGATTTACAATAGCAGTGGCCTTGCTAACAGTTCAGCTAAGAAAAACATGTCTTCTGGTATCAGTTTTGTCATGATAAATAAGTATCACTTTTAGTAATACTGGTTTTGATTTGCACATTTCTGTTTCTGTAGTGTAATTTTTAACATGAAGTGATCAGTGGATAAAGTACTGGGAAGCTTTGATTCATCTGCACGGTAGGACTGAAGTTGGGTTGCTGAGTGGGGTGCCAGTCTGGTTGTGGGCCCCTCCCTGCAGCTGGTTTGGCTCAGCAGCTCGTGGAGCAGCTGCTGAACTGCTGGAGAGCCCCACGTATTAAAGAAAAACCACTTTGGTATCTGCTCGGTGTGCTAACTTGTAATGTGTGGAGATGGGGGAATCCTTACAGCTACTCAAAAGTATCCAGGCTGTACTTGTTAACTGGAGCCCTTGAGCTAGTCGCCATACAGGATTAACTGAGATGTGAATGCTGCGGTCTGTGCTAGATGTGAGCTTCTGGGTCCGTATCCGTGATGTCTTCCCCAGACTGTTCGTCCACCCACTTGCTTGTGTCTTGTAGAAGAATACTACTTTTGGCAGAAGTAAAGATATTGTTAAACTGTCATCAAAACTCTCAAGCCATGATAACCGTTGCTGAAGGGACTTTTTGTTTTGGCCCTGCCTGTCTTAACCATACCATTGGTCAGCTTCTAGAAAACTTCTCTCCTTCAGGAAAGGGTGTTGAAGGACTGTGGGCTTCACTGAGAAGACAGTGTAGATTCCTGCAGCTTGACTGAAAGCTGGGTGTCGAATTATAGTGTTAGCCTTAACTGGATGAGCTAGTGTGGATGCAAAGCTGTTAGATCTGGCTGAGAGATCTCACTGTATGGACTGTTGGGGAAAAGCATGTTAATTCTGCACCCTAAATCTGCATAGCTGTAACTAGTGCACTACTCTGGCAGAAAAAAGGGGCTTATCTCATTGAAATGGAGGTCCTATCCATGGACTGCAACTCTGGGGTAAAGTGTTCTGATTTGAGCAATCTTCATGCATGAGTTGTTGCCTGCCGCAGAGGGTGCTGACTTTTGAGAATCATTTCTGTCACTGTTTCAGCAGCATTTCTCTGTGTCTGAGTTACATGGTCACCTGGGGGAGAACTGACAACTTCTTTGTTGCTTCCCTTGAGTTTTGTATTTGCCTTCGAGAAGGGAAATAATGTCCTTAGTTACATTTTCAATCTGTGGAGTTAATGCAATCTATAAGCTGCCAGTTAGCATCACTGTGATGGAATCTCAGTTGCTGCAGCATTCAGCTGTTTCAGAAACATAATTCATGTACAGGGGATTCTTCATGCTTAGGCTGATTGTATCCATGATTACCAGAAGACACAATAACTCTTAAAGTTAGTCTTTTAAAATTTCCAGTAATATTGCTTTTAGCCCTGAGGTTTATCAGAAGTGCAATCCAACCTTTGAGAAGCAACCTACTACAATAATCAACAGTTGTGGTTTAGTTCAAACTGTCTGTCTTGAGCCTTATACCTGATTTTTATTCCTGTCCTCTAAGGCAGTAGTCTGCAAAGTAGAGTGTGCAAGATATTTCATTGGGGTGCAGGAAGAAAATGTTTATTTCATCTTTATCTCAGCCTTTCAAAATTTCTATTTTTGTGTATGTTTATAATCTATGTAATAGTACAATAGTGCATGTATATGATTTATAAATATACGTATATTGGGGGTACATGCTCATAAAATTTTTACTGATAGAGGTGCACAGTCAAAGTTTGGAGACTGCTGCTCTAAGGTGTTTGAGGCAATAGGAAGCAAATTTGTCCAGAACAAACCTGGAAAGGCTCTAGTGCCCAACAAGCTAAAGGTGTCGGGGCCTGGCATGCTGATGCAGGATTTTGGAGCATATTAATTTAATAATGCTGGCTTTATGGTGATGTTTTCCCTGGCCATAAGAGAGGCTGTGTTCCTAGACTGAGACATTCCTGAGGCATTATTTCCCAGCTGAGGTCTCGGTTCTACTTATCTGTAACTTAGTCTGCCAGTTTGTCAGTTGGAGGTAGTCAGACTCTCTGTAAAAGAGTAAGAGTTTGGGTTGAGATGAGGCGGTTCTGCTTGGGCACTGACAGCGTCCTTCAGTGCTCATTAATATGAGGTCTTCTCCAAGATGAAGACTTACATCAAGAGGTAGTATGTCAGATGCTTGCGGTAGTTACATACAGATTATACTAAATTTTTAAAATTAACAGGAAACTTTTATTGAAAACCTATGGTAACCCTGTTGTAGAACTTCTTCATGAAAGAGTGGGGCAGCCAGTCAGGCTGATTATGATACAGCACTCTTCACCTCTGTCATGAGTGTAAGTGAATCTTCCAGCTGTTGTTTGAGCAGGTGGATATAGTCACACTTCATGGTGAAAGGAACACAAACTGTGAGAGGGACACGAATAATATTGTTTTTCTGTACACTGGACTAAGAGTGAACAGTTTTAAATGTTAAGTCACGTTTTACCAGACAAATGAACAGAAATATGTTCTCTTACAGGTTTTGGAAGAAAGGATGTTGTAGAGCACTTGCTACAGACAGGAGCCAACGTTCACGCTCGTGACGATGGAGGGCTGATACCCCTTCACAATGCCTGTTCGTTCGGTCACGCTGAAGTGGTTAGTCTGTTACTGTGTCAAGGGGCAGACCCAAATGCTAGAGACAATTGGAACTACACTCCTTTGCACGAAGCTGCTATCAAGGGCAAGATAGATGTGTGTATTGGTAAGTGTCCGTTGCTTCTCATATTGAAACTTTACCAGATATGTGTTGTGCCATTGCAGTTGTTAATGTGCTGGACTTGAAAACCAAAGGTATTGCTTGTTCTTAACGATTAACTTTTTTTTAAACTAGCATGCAGGTGTAGTGATAGCCATTTAAGACTAAATTTTCATGGTGTATAATGAAAGCTTTGCTGAGCTTGCATCTGGAAAACTAACCTGGGGAGGTTAGGGAAAGTGTTCTCTTCTGTTAAATTACAATATTCAAAATCTGAATATGGAAGTTTGTCTTGGTTGCTCTCAAGACAATTAGCTTCACTAGGTAAAGTCTTTGCTTTTCAGGCCGCTCTATATGTTAGCTTAGTGGTTAGGAAGGTAGTTAACCTTTCATTTTATACAGTATAGGGAAACATTTCATTAGTCCTTTAGAGCTTTCAAATACACATTACAGGACACCATTGTTCACAGGGGTTATATATCTTCAGTGTGTGTGCTGAAGACTGGAGCCAAAGCAATTTCAAATAAAATTGAACACTTCAATCATTTTAAATGTATCTAGAACACATAGACATCCTGACTGAAAAGCTCTCTAACTCTTATGGTTTTTCTCAGTGTACTTAGTATTACTTTTGCTAAATGGGAACTTCTATTTTTATTTTTTTACACTCAGATCAGTTCCTTGAACTCATTTATAAAAAATATGGGTTTTCTCACATCTACCAACTTGAATACAATGGTCTGCTCAACATTGTCTTTTTTATCAAACATGGAAAGAGAAGCTTGATTTTTAGGAACCACAGTTAAGATTGTGAACATGAGATTTGTTCTATATGTTATCCAGATAACAAGACACAATTTTCAGAATTTCAGATAATATCCATTTGCTTAAAGACTTATTACATAAAATTCCTGCAGAGAAAGCTATAAAACTTTTAGGGCAAGTTCTTGCATTAGCTTTATTACAATACTTATGTCATTACTTAAAAACAACACCAAAGGCTGAGGGAAAGAAAATTTGAAGAAACACCTAAATACAAGTTTTTAGTTTATTATCCTTACAAGGGATGTGATGGACTTCATTTATTTCATCTCTATGTGCAGGGTAAAACATTTGGAGAATAGTCTACGGAAGTTACTGAGTACAGGTGATTATACAGCAGTACTGTGGGAAGAGATCCATTGATATAGTAGGTCCCAATCACAGTCTGTTGTGACAATAGTGAATGGAAAAGTAAATCTAATTCCAGTCAGTAACTGGAGTTTTGTTTGTGACTTAAAGGAAGTAATTACTTTGGTCTGTTCAATGCTGGAGTCTGCCTGGCTTTGGGAACTGCTGACTGAAAAGGGAAAAGGTTGACAGTAAAAGGCTGAGAAAAGTCACCTGTAAAGGAGGACTAGGTTTGTTTGCTTTGGAAAAGATTTGTCTTGCTCAGTCTTTTAGAACCTTGTTGTAAAGCAGGAGGGGGGTGTAGCAGCACACCTTTGTGTTTGTAGGTGATAGGATGAAAGATGGTTGCAACAGAAGATTTTAGGATTTGGGAGGGCAGCATGGGTAGTGTAGTTTTGGGTGGTTTGTCTAAAGACTCTGATGTACTCTTTGGAGGAGATTGGGCAAGGCAGATCAAGGCAGCAGGTTATGTGGTACATCAATTTTGATGTACAATAGCGACAGTAATTTGAGATTGTTTAGATCTAATTTCCATAATCGAAGAACCGTTGATACTTTTATACTCCAATTCAGTAAGAAATTGTGGGCTTGATGAAAGACGTACAAAATCAAATGTATGGCTTGTGTTACACAGAACTTCATTATGTGTTCCATGCACAGATTAGATCTGTGACTCTAAATGTTAGATGTTAGACTAAGGAGATGATCCATATTTATATATATATATAAAATATTCAACATGTGGTACTGGTCAAATCCTAAAGCTCTTCTGCTCTCTACTGCAGTTGTGGGCTTCCTTGGAAGCACTGGGCAGAGTTACAGGACTAGATGCAGTTCTCCTTCCAAAGCTACTTGCAGACAGATAGGAGTCTGGCAATTTATTTTTTTTTAAGTTACTTTTTCATTGTAAACTTCCTCCTAATACAAGTAAATGTGATGTTATTGTATTCATCTTAGTTATGGATATCCATGTATGTCACACTTCAGTCAGATATCTGATCTGTCAATGCGAGATGTATTACTGAACACAGTGTCACCAGTCACTAGATTTAATAAGTACTGTAGTATGATGATGCTTTGGGATTTAGCTGATTCCATAAAACTGCCAGGATGTGAGTATAGACAAAGAAGTCTACTCTTTCGTGTTTGCAGTGAGTTTGTTTGCAATTTATATCTAGGGGGCAAGCATGTTTTGCTGTCTTTAGCAAGTTCCTGTTGGTTTTTTTTTCAATAGTTTTATATGTAATTGTTATATGAAGGTCTTTAGTTTTTATCTCAAAAAGTCTTTTTAAGGAGCACATTACACACAGGGATAACAGAATGATGATTGCTTAGGGCACAAATTCTAACTAGGAGTTGGAATAGCTTTCTGGAATGTGTTGTACAGTACTGCTATTTACACCTTAAGTGTTACAGTAGATATGATGGAATAAATTGGAAGAAATGAAAAAAATCATGTTCTTGGGGTGTTCCTTTTTAAACAAGCAAGGCATGCTTTTTAAAAAGCATTAATTGAAGAACAGTCTCTGGAAATCCTGTCATAACCTAGAATTTATTGCTGAACTTAGCTATCTGTCTGAGAAGCAACAGGCTGTGTAGGAGTTAGTCATCTAGCCTCATTTTTTGGCTACATATTCTTGGCAACTTCTTCCAAATGATGTAGTGAGAGAGAATTTTCCAATTTATCTTCCTTTCTGCCCTTCTGTGCCACCTCAGTCTGCATCTTTTCTTCATCACACCTGGCATAGAAGGCTGTCCTTTTGGCCATTTCACAGATTGAAAAGGAACGAAGTGATAATTGATCAGAGCGTGGAGATAAAACACATTCATGAATCATGATTTTTTGGAGGAAAACTCAAGGCAGTGAAGCAGAGTGGGAAGACCAGCAAAAGCTGGGTAGTGATGGCACTACATAGAATGCTCTTGTGTCTAGCACTAGCCTTGGAACGGAGTGTGCGTATTGATGCTAAAAGCACTGTGAGTATAGAATATGGACTGTGGCTCTTTTAGGTGGCAGTTGCTTTTCTGTCCTAAGTCTGCAAGTATAGGAGATCCTGGAGGACGGTAAGCAGTGCTCAGCTGGTTTGCTGACCATCTCTTACAAAGTATTTAGTCACTGCAGATTTGTTTAGTTGCTAAGTAATTGAATCCATTTGAAAGCATCGTTTGCTGTGTGTAATCGATTTTTGGACTAAATGTATTGAAGCATTAAAACCAATTGTTAGATAGTGTTCTCCAGCATTTATGGCTTCCAGGATTGCTTTATCTGTCAGGAAGATGCATTTTCAGTGTCTGTGGACTGCTTCTGGGGCTAATGAAAAGTGTTTTTGCTCCTTAGTGTCACATTTGCTCGTGGAATAATGAATGAATGGTGAACTCTGCAAAGATATGTTTGGATGAATGCTGTGAAGTCAGGGTAGTGACTGTTCTGTAGGTCAGGCTGGGGAAAAGGATGATCTGTTTCTTCATCTGAAAGTCTATGCTGCGGTCAGACCAAAGATGTGACTCACTTTTAGCTCACTTTTCTCCAGCAATGTCATGTAGCAGATGCTCAGACTATGAATGGCTTGAGTGTGTCCTTCTTTCTGACGGCAATCAGCAATTTAGGAAGTTGCTACGGTAGAGGCTGCATCCTGGACTGTGTTGCACAGCCGTTGGTATACAAACTTCTTGAATGATAGATCTAATCACTTTTTAAATGCTGATATACTTCTGGCTTTGAAGGTGTTCCATGGCAAGAGAGTTTTACAATTTAATAGTCTTGCAGGAAGAAAACCACCTTTCCTTTTCTTTAAAATGTTACTCTTGTTTACTTTCATTGCACACCATTCAGGACTTTCGTGAGAAATAGTGAACAGTCATTTCTATATGCACTCTACATATGCTTCATGATTTTATAGGCCTTTTATCTTTTCTTCCTTCAGATGTCTCTTTTCCAAACTGAAAAACTTAGTGTTCCATTGTGTTATCCTGTTGAATACTCTAGTATTTTTGTCTTTTTTTTTTTTTTTTAAGAGTGAGGGATTGGTATGGGGTGTACAGACATCAAAACTGGATGTAGTGAATTTATAGGATAACTTAATGTTCCTTCTGTTTTGGTTTTCTGGTTGCTGAGTACTGAGTGGGAGTAGCTCCAAGGTATTTCCTGAGTGGTAACAGCTCCTTCAAAACTGTATGTTTGTGCAACACAGGTTTTTATGGCGGGGGAAGGGGAGGAAACAAAACCTTAGGCTAAAATAACCTTACTGAAGGTGCGCTTATGCAGTCTGTCTGGGCTTTCTTTGCCGTCCACTGTGTGTGTTTTTTTCTGCAGAGGCTGTAGCTGTTCCTGCAGAATGTTTTTTTTCTAAGTGGATCTCCAGTTAAGTGTTGTGAGAGCTATAGGACAGCTAGCCTAAAAGTGATCTCAGGTGTTATACACCTGTCTAGTTTTTAAGGGCATCCCTCAGAAATATGGAAACCATGAGCATCTTCTATGGTGATGCCATGATTTATGGATCTGAACATACAGGGTCCTTTAGTAATTTTAGGGAAATAAAAAATATAGCTACTGAAAAGCTCCCTTCAACATTCTACAATACTGTAAAAGTTTTTAAAAATTTAGTCCATGCGGTGCTAAGGATCCATCAGGAATTACTTAATGTGACATGAGACCAATATTTTTACTGACTTCCTCTGGGCTAGTTTTAAATTTCCTGCAAAGATCTTGTGGCATGATGAATTTACTGTCCTAGTGCTATGAAGCAATCTCTAATGATAGTGTCAAGGTGCATTTGTCTCTTCTCGAAAGGAGAACTTCTGTGGAAGTTGACTTTTTTTCCCATTACCCTTTTTGG